CAAGATTTAAAGGTTAACTAATGGCCAGTATAGTATTGTGTTAGATCAATGAAAGATCATTGTTGAGTAATTGATAGACTACCTGTAACAGTGTCTGGGAATTATTTTAATCATGGATCTATGGTAAAGTACATTTTTGTAGTATTAGTGTGTTTGTGGTGGTGATGGGTGTTTATTAAAAAAAAATTATGTAACCTATATGTAAGTTTTCTCCACTGTGCCCTGTTGGCAGTAACGTTACTCTGGAAGACATTAAAATGCAGGTTGGGTTTCATTTTTTGAACCTGAAGTTGATATTCAGCTTCCTAGGTGTGTGGCTCTGTATTCTCTCCCTCTCTCTCTAAGACCAATACATTCTTCAGGGTAAGAGGATTTCTGAATTAGTCACACAAATTTACTTAAACATCCCTTCTCCCACATTTTCTCTTACCCTAAACAAACCAAAACAGCTGTCCTTGAGTATGTATCACACTCATTCTGAAGTTGGTAGAATCCTGCCTGTAGCTGAATCCTGTCTAAATATAATCTTTGAATTCCCTAGCTTATGCCTCTCTCCTAACCTGTGATATAGGATCATGAGGAATGCTTGTGAAAGCGAGAACTTCAGATTAATATCTGCTTTTAGGAAATTTGTTTTTTATTTTTATGAAATACTGTGGCTTGGTTTGTTTATTTAATCTTGTGATGCTTGCTGTGCAACTTCAAATGTTTGACTTCTTTACAAAGATGCTCTCTCGGCACGGGGACTAGTTGTAGGGTAACCATATGTCCTGGTTTGGCTGGGACAGTCTTGGATTTTGGAGTCCGGACCTGGTCGGCTAGCAAAAATTTAAAATGAGCACCCTGGGTGCAGGGCATAATTTAGTGGAGAGGTGAAGCAGCACAAACTGTGAAATAGGAAGCCCTAGAAGACATCAAAATTGCCCTAGAATAGTTTAGCTTAATTAGTGAAATGACCATTAAAAAGGGGAGATTGTTAACACCTCTGAAGTAAAGAACAATGGGTCATTAACAGGACACTGATTCCCCTCCATGCTTGAATAGTAAGACTAGAGCTGCCCTGCCCTTGTCTCTGCTTGCAGTAGCACTGCTGACCAGAGGTTGGGGGCAGTGTCCCAGATTTCAAATTGTCCCATACAGTCACCTTGGATTAGGGTATTCAAGGAGAATAGGGCAGTCTTATCTACTGAACCCTTATTGAGTGTGGCTAAAGAGCACATTCCACATCCATGGCCATTGTTCTGTCTCTTCCTTTTGGAATATTCAGTGTAAGTGACACCATCACTTATGTTGTGTCAGGATTGGTGGCAGTTTTAAGAGTGTACATTACGGATTATATAGGATGGCTTGGGTAGGGATGATTCTGCATCCAGCAGCAAGTTGAACTAGATGACCTCTGGAGGTCATTCTCTATAATCACAGATCTTATTCTCCAGAATAACCTACCGTTTTCATGGTGTCATTGTAGCTCTGCCCCAAGATACATTTCATGTACCACAAAGAATCAGGCAATGAATGACTGGTTTAGTAATATAATGGAAGTTATGGCAGAGTGCCTTCTGCTTAGGGCCTTCTTTTCAAGTTGGCTGAAGCTAGAAATTGTACAGACTGTATTATGCACTATCAAGAACCATGAACATTTGAACAGGTTTACCTAGGCAACACAGTATATATGCTAAAGAGGTTGCTTGAATATAGAACCTGTTTATTCCAAATGTCTGTGAGGTTATTGTTGTTTGGGACAGTGGAAGGTCAGCAAAAGCAGAACAAATAAACCAGGTGACACTGGAAATAGTTGAAAAAGGAATAGATGAGTAATCCTTAGCTTCTTAGAGAGAAAGTATTGGACATGAGAAGGAAAGAGAGAGGTTTTGGATGAGGGGACCTGGTTTAGTTGCAGGGAAGATAAAGAGAAAAGGCAAACCATTTTCCTGCCTGCTGGAAAACATTTGGACCCCCCTCAAGGAAGGGTGAACTAGAGTGATAGGCTTTGCATTTAGGAAGTTTTATTTTTCTGAAGATGTGTATTGTTTTGCATTGTTTTGCATACTGCATCCATTAAGTAAAAAAGCAACAATGTGTTCAGAAACTCTGGGTAAAGCCTCTCTGTAAGTAGCTGTCAGCATATATCTAATAACTGGCTTCTGAGGAATTATATTAGAATTAGATTAAATAATGTAATTAATTAAACAATTTAAACTGGGAAATAGCAGGAGGCTGAAGTAGTAGGTTGTGAGGACAGGTTTTTGGAATCTGTGGGAGGAAGAGGGAGGTCCCTGCTGCTAAAAGTGGGGTCCTGGATCAAGGGTGTACACCCAGAAAGTGTGCTTGGACTGTGTTCAGACTTAAAAGCTTGTGGATCCAGTGACTGGTCCCTGGCAGGTCTGGTGAGTAGTCAAGACCGGGGTACTTAGGTTCTTTCACAGCTTTGAAAATTATAGTACTGCTTAAAGTATACTCTTAAATCTTTGGAGCCATTGGCTTGGGTTCTTGTGTAATGGTAAGATCTGATTTCTCTTAAAAATTTTGTGGTAAGACATTATAACTTCTATTTGCATGTATGTTTAATTATGTATTGTAAATTACTTCTTTTATAGTTCTTACAGCATTGCATTGTTTACTAATAAGAAACTTACTGTGGAAACCAAATCTCTGCCCTATTTTAGTTTATTGTGACAAAAACTATGTGCACAAACAACTGGTAAGACAATTTATATGGGCGGATGATCTAGTAAGTTATTATGTTTCCTTTCCCCCTTTTAGATTATTTAATTTTAGTGTCAAAAAGCAAGTAAGTATAAACCAGGGGTTGGCAGCCTATGGCCATGCTGATCTGACGCAGAGAATCTGCGACATGCAGCTGTATCATGCCTCCTATTCCCCTCAATAATGTTTGCCTCCACTCCATAGCTCTCCCTGCTTCTTTCTTATGCCTGTGCTTACCATTACAGAAAAATATGCCCCTGCCTGTTGCCATTGTGGATGGGGGATTGGTGGTGAGAGTAAGCATAGTTGGCTTAGGTGCTCCTGGTCTGGAGGCTTGCGCTTCATGGCAGGGAGCTGGGTCATAAGTGGCAACTTGCTGTGGCAAAAGGTGACTGACTCCTGCTATAAACCATAGTGTAAATAAGAGTGTACAGACCTGTACAGCACATACAGGTTGATATTAGGGCTGTGCAAAGCTTTGGGTGGTGATTCAATTCGGAGAAGATTTGGTTCAATTTAGTGGCTGAATCTCTGAATCCTAATCAAATCGGGGACCAATATAAAGGTCTGAATCGATTCAAAGCTCTCTGAATTTCCGGAAAAGATTTGGAGAGCTTAGATTTGGACAGTCCCCGGTGGATGCAGCAGGGAGCTGCAGCCAGACTCCGAGCTAGTAAGTACTAGGGGCTGGGGAGAGGACCATGGGGGGCCCCCTGCCAGCCCCAATCCCCTGCCCGCTCCCCCAGCCCCCTCACGAGTGCCCCACCTGGCCAGCTCTGGCCCTTTAAGAAAAAAATACCCAAAAATGGAGAAAAGCCCCAGGGCTCACCAGTCCTGCAGTGGCCTTGGGGCTTCAGGGGGCTGAAGCAGAGCCTCGCAAGTGGCGCAGGGCAGCGGGGGGCAGCGGTAATTGCCCCCTGCCAGCAGGAACGGTGAGTGCAGGGCTTTTCTCAGTTTATTTTTTCTTGAAGGGCCAGAGCTGGCCTGGGCAAGGCACCCATGGTGGGGCTGGGGGAGCAAAGGGGGGGTCAGGGGACTCATGCAGAGCCCCCCATGCAGCATTGCCCCCCGCCCCCCCCCGCCTGGGGCTTTTTTTCCAAAGATCCGGGAGCTGGGGCAGCCATTGCCAGGCTGTGGGGGATGGGCCTGGCTGATTCAGAGATTCAATTAATCGAATTTGGCTGAATCGATTTGGGACAGTGATTTGAATCACTGAATGGAATCACTGTCCCCCAAATCAGCCGAAACCGAATCCGAAGCGAATACTAGCCGCT